AATTAAAATTAAAATTACTCACTACACTCCACATATGTTCCTGCAACCCTAGTTAGACGTTTTTCTCAAACCATCATATTCTTATAACCCTAACGTGGTTTATACGTTTAAAAATATCTTGTTTTATTCATAAAGGGTGAGATTAAAGTTAGAGAGGCTTCGAATGAGGTATGAGTTTATTTTTTTTAGCGTTTTTCAAGTTTAAGATTTCATGATGGGCGCTGGTTGCATTCAGCACATTAGTACCGAACGCGATAGGTATTTTCGGTGGGATGCCATCAAAACTTTGCACATATTTCGGTTGTGTTTGACCGACCGTTAACTTAAGATGCGGTGTAGATCCACTGTAACATGGAACAGTGTTCAGTGGTGTACTATCGAACTTTTACCTGTAGTTCAATGGCAATGAATCAAAATATATTTATTTTTTCAGAAATTTATTGTCGACTACAAATTTAATGCAAGCTATTTTGACCTTACTCCCATCGAAGGAACAAAAAGAAGGTGACGTCCTTGCTGAAGGCAACAATATGGGAATAGAATATGTAATGGACTATAGTCATCAATTCAAAACTTATTCAGTAATTATTTTGAGTTTTTTTAGTTTGAAATCTTTTTAACTATTATTAATATTTCAAATTTTAACGTTAAATAACATGAGTTTTATATGTAGATATTCAATTGTTGATATGCATTACTTAGATAGGCTCGTGCACCTCTCAGTCTCAGTGGAGGGTTGAGGAGAGGTCACCTGGAGGACCAAACGGTTGGAATTTGCAAACTTGGACACGTCTCCCACTGAGAGGGCGCCAAATACGATGTAATAAACCCAAACGGCCCGACCCATGAGTTTTTCACGGGCCCGGTTAACACCCGACTGAATTCGAATTCGAACCCTCATCAGAAGTGAGTGAGAGTGGCTTCTAACAGTCCACGTGTTCTCACTGTGCACTCAACACCCATAGCCAAACACCTACCTATCTTTTCTCTTCTCTTCTCTTCTCTTCTCTTCTCATCTTGTATGCTGTCGTTTACCTCTCAGTCTCAGTGGAGGGCTCATCAGAGCTCGGGCAATGGCGGCTGAATCCATAGCAATGCTACCCTGGACCATCTCCTCCTCCATTCCCTCCGACCACAGGCTGCTGCCACGTGGAGGACTCTGCGTCTCTCACAGTCACAGCTCTGCAGCACCTTCTAGAAACTGCGTGGTTGCCAGATACTCGTCGACACAATCTTCGTTGCTCTTCTCCAAGGACTCGCTGCGGAAATGCTTGCGGCCGCTAAAAGCGTTGGTGGCTTCCGAAACTCCGGACGTTCCTACGACGCCGTTTACTGGCGATGATAAAGTTGGAGTCTTGTTGCTCAACCTTGGTGGCCCCGAGACTCTTGACGATGTCCAACCCTTCTTGTTCAACCTCTTCGCAGACCCTGTAACTTCTCAAGCTCTGATATTTTTTTTCTTTTTCTAGTTTTAATTACTGAATTTTAACAAAAGGCCATTAATTTGAATTTTGTAACTTTACTGTGCATATCAATTAAAGTTGTTGTATTGAAATGGTGATTTTGAGTGTATGTAACAAAATGGGCAGGATATCATCAGACTGCCAAGATTGTTCCGTTTTCTTCAAAAGCCATTGGCGCAATTTATATCTGTTCTCAGGGCACCAAAGAGCAAAGAAGGCTACGCCTCAATTGGCGGTGGCTCTCCTCTTCGACGAATAACTGATGCACAGGCATGACCTCTAATTTTCTCTTCACATCCATTGACTAAGTTTTCTTAAATTGCATGCAGATTGTAGAAAGAGTAGTGCTTTAAGCTTAATGGAAATGCTATCTAGTCAGAAATTCATTGGGTACCCTTTTCTTCCTTCAGGCGGAAGAGTTGAGGAAGGCTCTTTGGGCGAAGGATGTCCCGGCAAAAGTGTATGTGGGTATGCGTTATTGGCATCCATTTACTGAAGAAGCTATCGAACAGGTATTTCTGGTCAACCTTAATTCTGATTTTCAAGATATCCGTTAATGATATCGAAGCTAATGAATTATTTGTACTTTGAAAAGTAAACAAATCTATAGCTTATGTTGAATCATTCTACATCAACTTTAGTTCACAAATTACTCGAAACTTGTTCTTCTTTCTTTATATACGATGCCACCTGATTATAGTAGTTATTCTGCACTTTTGTCAAGTTTTAGTTGAAAATCCAATTCAACAGGTAACCTGCAAATTTGTTATGTGGCATTTAGGTTTTTGATTGTGCTCTATCAATTCTCAAGCTAGTTTTGTGAACCAAAGTTCATGGATCTTCTTGTTGGTTTCAAAACAATTTTGTAGATAAAAAGAGATGGAATTACAAAGCTTGTTGTCCTTCCACTTTATCCACAATTTTCAATATCGACTAGTGGTTCAAGCCTTCGGCTTTTGGAGAGTATATTCAGGTGATGTCTAACTCTAGCCCTGTGTTTCCTTATCATTGTCCTACAGTATAAGCTTTAATTTGACCATATAGTTCGTTGGTTTATCAGGGAGGATGAATATCTAGTCAACATGCAGCACACAGTAATACCATCGTGGTACCAGCGTGAAGGGTACATAACGGCAATGGCAAATTTGATTGAAAAGGAGCTTCAAAGTTTTGATAGCCCTGAGAAGGTATTGTTAACTTCTTTTTTCACATTGTTAAAACTTGTTTTAGGTGGCAAATGGCTAAGATTCAGGTTCATGGAAATGTGCATTTTAGGTAATGATATTCTTTAGCGCACATGGGGTGCCACTTGCATATGTGGAAGAGGCTGGCGATCCATACAAGGCAGAGATGGAGGAATGCATAGATTTGATAATGGAAGAATTAGAAAAGAGAAAAATAACTAATGCATACACCCTTGCCTATCAGGTGCGCTTGTGCTTTTAATTTGATCTGATTTAAATGTCTCCTCATTTAGAACTATCTATAGGTAAATTTCACTTTGACGTGGATAATAGAATACAATATTGGTAAATCATCTTGTTCTTCAAGAAATGCATCAGAAAGTAATCCTACACAAAAAAGAAAACTAAAAACTATTTCAGAACAGGAAATAATAATAACTCCTAGGAAACTTAACTTCACTGGAGGTCTGGTTTTTGACTTGCTCTGATAGGCCTCTCAAGAATAGGGATAGGTTTTTCAAAGATCATCTACAAAATAGTGGAATACTTGTTATTTCATGTGAGATTTTTCTGATTGTATTCTATTTTACTATCTTCTACATACATAATATATTATTCATGACATGGTTGATAGTTAGTGAATGTTCTTACAGAGCAGAGTTGGACCTGTGGAGTGGTTAAAGCCTTATACCGATGAGACAATAATTGAGCTTGGGCAAAAGGGAGTTAAAAGGCTGCTGGCAGTCCCTATAAGGTAATTGTTGTCAGTGTTTTCTCTCTCTGCGCCCCCCCCCCCCAAAAAAAAAACACCAAAAAAACCACCATTGATAGCTGTATATTAGCTGCACCATGTACGGATGCAAACCAGACAATCATATGTATGAATTGTGGAACTTAGTTTTGTGATTAAAGTTTGATGTTTGATTCACAGCTTTGTCAGTGAGCATATTGAAACTCTAGAAGAAATTGATGTTGAGTACAAAGAATTGGCTATGAAATCTGGTATAGAGATTTGGGGGCGTGTTCCTGCACTAGGATGTGAGGCCACCTTCATTTCAGATTTGGCAGATGCTGTGATTGAGAGCCTGCCATATGTTGGAGCTATGGCAGTCTCTAATCTTGAAGCTCGACAGGTAAACTCACTCCTGAACAATGTTGTGTCTTGTGTGTGTCTTGCGTGCGCATGGGTGTGTGTGGGTGGCAGAGAGAAGCTCGCGAGGAGTAACATGTTTTGTTTATTTGTCCCTGCTGTTTTTTTTATTGAAAACCCATCTTGAATAGGTCCTTACTATACTTTGTGCTTGTCTTTGGATGACGTTTGGGTATTTTCTCACAGCCTTTAGTACCACTTGGGAGTGTGGAAGAGTTGTTAGCGGCCTATGATTCACAGCGTAGGGAGTTACCAGCACCTGTGACAGTTTGGGAATGGGGTTGGACAAAAAGTGCCGAGACATGGAATGGAAGAGCAGCTATGTTGGCGGTGGTTGTTCTATTGGTGCTAGAAGTCACCACCGGAGAGGGGTTTCTGCACCAATGGGGCATATTGCCCATACATCGCTGAATCTAATCCCCCTCCCCCTCCTCCTCCCTTATCCTTTTTATTCTTCTTATTTTTCCTTTTCCTAAATGTACCTATTCATAATATGAAGCCGTTTTCTTCTTCTTTTTTCCCCATACATGTTTTATGTTACATTACATACTAAGGCATTTGAGTCCCTGCTTACATGATCAAATATAGGCTGTTGAGGTGCAGCACTTTGTGTGGAGGCAAAAGTTGAAAATTTGTATGATATATATATGAGTGGTCCTGTAATCCTTCTGTTCACAGCCTCGCACAATGTTAAGTGAATTTTCATGTGGTGGTAAGTTTTGTGCTCTCCTTGGCAGTTTCTTCTTCTTTTCATGTACAAAATAATCACAAAACATATACAAGGCCCAGCCCACAGATAAATTTTGACCCAAAAAAAGAAGAAGAAAAGCCCACGGATAAAAGCCAGTGGACCATAAGTGTAACACTAACTCCAATGGGGCCCACGGGACAGTGACGTGTCCTATCGAGGTCGCGTGTCCTCTTGGGCGCGCGTGCAGCGAAAGCTGATACTGTCTTCTTCTGTCTGTTCCTGTCTCGTACGGCTTATCCTCTTTGGCACGTGAATTTCCCGTGCGTGTTCAAAGATGGGGCCGCCTTCTGCAGGACGGGACGCATAAGCTTTAGCCACGTTGAAACGCGCGAACAAGCGAGCGTATCAACACGTGTTAATTTCACCCGCGTGCGCGCCCCACATTGGAGATTCAATTTCAAAGGGAGAGGCGTTTTGAATATTAGAAACCGAAATAGAAAAAAACGCTAAAAAGGTAAAACGTTTCGATGACTCACTCAGTCATTTCAGTCACTGATAAATGCTCTCTCTCCCTCTCTCTCTCCTCTGTCTTTCTACTGAGGAACAGCTAGTAAAGCACTCACATTTGATTTTTCTACGCACACAGAGGTCTCAGCTGTGGTGTGTGCTCCGACGTCGTTTAGCTCATCCTTCGGTTCCGGTTTGATCCTTCTCCATTCTTTTTTTTTACCTGATGCTCTCAATTCAAGTGATTTTTCAATTATTCATGTGTTTGTGGAAATTGTACAATTTAGCTTTGCGTCATGGAAAATGAGTTTAGCGCTGGGAAACAAGAAACACAAAAGAAAATAAAGAAAATTTGGTGGGTCTAGCTTAGTGCAGGGTTTGGGTGTGTGTGCCAAAAGATCAAATAAAGCAAAACTTGGACGAGAATGATGCTTACTTAGTAAACCCATGTGAGAAATGTGTATAATCACCCAGGCATTGCTGAGAACCTGAGGTTCTCTGTAACTGTTTAGCTTAATAAGAAGGCCATGAATGCAAATTGCAAAATGATTCTCTTGTTCTGTTTGTTCCTTATTCTGTGAATGGCATGCGTTGGGCTACTTGAATTCAAATTGATTTTGAAGTTTAAACATTTCTGTGAATGGCATGCGTTTAGCTTCTCTTGCTATGCTTATTCTTTAATATGCAAATGGCATTTATGCTTGTACCTCACTGCCTGTGTTTTAGGTGGAGAATGTTAGTACAATTTTTGTTTGCCGCATTCCTCGTAATAGTGATTCACTATTTCAGAGTAGTCGAAATCCATCTTTTGCCCTTCAGCTATCATTATGTTGCTACTCATAACTGTATTAACTATATGAGTCATGACTTGCTGTTTAGTTAATTGGATATTCTTCCTTAACATATGCAGGTTATTCTGTGTTGAAATGAGACTGAACATAGTGGAATAAATACAAATTTCATGTGAAAAATGCGGTCCTAGAGTTTGGAATTGCAGCAAGATTTCTTTTTGAAAGCTTAAATGTCAGGAAGCAAAGTGTTGCTAACGTATAAGCGAAAGCGGCAATCAAGAACAGATCCTGTACAGGGACATGAGTGCCATAATTCACTTTTTGTTGCTCCCGATGATACTTCTTTAAGCAAACCACCAGACTTGCAAGATCATTTGATTGATAAGCGTTCATCAGAACATTATAACAGAAATTTTGCGGTGAGATTTTAGAAAGTTGGAACCTGTTCACTTTTTTTAGTTTGTTTCAGATTTATGTAGATAATTTAATAATCCATCCTTCCCTATTTTTCCTCCAATAATTTCGTTCTTGAAAAAATACTGAAAAGAAAAAAGGTTTTAAGGGATTACCAGATACCACCAGAATGTACCCTATTCAACAGACCTTTGAAAGCGTATCTAGTTGAGATGAACATTTAGATTTGGTTCTTTAATTCAGGTTTCTACAAAGATCTTCTCTTAGTTGTCTTAGACCTATAATTTATTTTTAAGGTCATTGCTATATTCTGTCTCACCTGCCTCTTTTTCTTGCAGGTGTACCATGTATGTTTTGTGTGCTGTGTCGGGGGTAACCTGAAGCACTGTGGCAAATGCCTTCAGTCGTATCATCTCCAATGCCTAGATAAGCCCCATAAGGAAAAGAAACACATTGAAGTATCTGGCACAAGACAAATACCAATTAAAACCTTTCCAACAAGTCTTGATGAGGTTCCCACCCAAAGGGATCCATATGGGAATAAGTCTAGTGGCAAGAAAGTTGGCTCATCTTCAAATGCTAATGCTGGAGCATTGGTTGATGATAATAATGTTGGAGGGAGGTTAGTTTCTCAATTGGTGATGAATTCCGCTGTAATTACTGCTGATTTTGTCAGACAAAAATCATCATCATCAGCAGCAGCATTTGAAAGAAAAAGCAGCTCTGAATGTGATGGTAGCTCGTCAAGATTGAATATATCAAACTTAGAAGACACTGATTCATTCTCTAGAAATAAGTTAGATGAATTAGGTGGTGATTCAGCTGCGCAAAACAAGTTGACCACCCCATTGATTACTTTCTGCCGAAGGAATAAAAGAAAAAAGGATATGGATGAGTCTAATATACAAAGGAAATCACTGCCTATGGAAAATAGCTGCTCATTGATAACCAAATTGAATAATTCTGTTTGTACTAATACCAGTTCTTATGAAGAAACATCCCCTGAAAACTGCTCAGTAGATCATGAAGCAGATTTGAAGCACTCCAGAGAGGTATGTAATATGAAGCCTATCTTTTGTCAATTTGGAAATCATGTATCTGCCTATGAGCACAAACACAATCATGTGAAATGAGAATTAGAAAATAAGATGCGACATGGAAAATACATTCTCGTTTACATGTATTCTATAATATTAATAATACATATGTATAAAAACAAGGTCAGAATAAAAGGTGCATCATTGTTAGTGGTTAGTTGTCCTCGAGTGGCTGACTGACTCCACTATTATGTGCATTCTTAACCTGATACTTCATTTCTGTATGTAATTTGTAATCACCGATCTAATTTCTTTGCTACAGATCATTGATTTTACATATGCTCATGCTGGATCTGCTGCCGCTGGAACTAAAATGTAGGTTCACATTAACTTCAGAACTTATTGGTTTCTTATATTTTAATTGCTTACTTCATTCATCGGGACAGTTTGATGCATGAAGAAGAACAACTGCATGATGAGGAAAAGACAGGCAGTGATGCCTTACAACAGGCTGGAAAAGTACTTGGCCAGAGTGCTCAAAGTGCAATGGATGTTGAAGTTCTTTGCATGGATCATTTAAGAAAAAGTAGTGATACTAGAGACTCCTCTTCTGAAGCTGTAACTCTATGTAAACCAGGAAAAACCCATGCATTGATAAGAGATGAAGCTCAAGTTTTATCAAATGATGATCTTAAAGCAACAGAAACCCCTCATTTAGGCAGATCACTTCCTTATTTGGACTTGTTTGTTATACCCACTGGTAGGACTTCATTAATTTCTAGGAATGCATTTGAACCAGTAACATTATCATTTCACATTGTGTTTAACTTACAATACTTTATCTAAAGAATTCTTACTAGCAGATTCATGTGGCACTGTGGAATGCAATGTTGACTTAAACTTGAGTTCTCAGAAGCAACCTGACCTGTTTGCGCCAAAAACTATGTGGGACTCCTTGGATTCTACTAGCAGAAATAATGCCACTGTATTGCAGGAACTGTCTCCTCCAGAAATGTCAGCTGCGAGAATTGAAAGAGTAGAAACTCATGCTTCAAGGTTACACAAAGATGCATTTGAATTTTTAGAAGTTGGTGACAGCTGCAAAGATGATGATAAAGTTAGTCCTCTATTTTCCAAGGAAATTACACCAAAAAACCAATGTCTGCAGGTGAGTTTTATAAGTCCTGTTGTTTGAAGTTTTGGGGATGATTTGGCTGTCAACTAATCTTATTTTACTTTTCATGTTTGGAATTGATTCCAGCTATTTTCAGAAGAAAAAACCAGTGAAAATTTTCACCCAGTGACAAAACAGCCTGTGGCGGCAGCTTCTATAGCTTCAGAACAAAGAAAAATTCTTCTGTTGGGAGGCAAAAATAATCAACCAGAACAAGAATCTCCTCTGTTACTAGGTCTATCCTTACCAGAAAACCCTTTAACTGCAGGATGTGCAACCAATACCTACTTCAGTGCGTTTCCCTTCTTGAACTCTGTCATTGAAACCAGAGAATTTATCCGAGATGCAGCACTCCAATCTTCCTCGAGCCATTTATCATCAGTATTGAGACACAAGCATATGCAAGATAGCATTGCAAGCCGAGCAAGAGCTTTCAATGAAAGGAGTAGTTTTCATGACAAATATAAGCCATATAGTACCATGTGGTCTGAAGAGGAGTTGGATTTTCTATGGATAGGTGTGAGGAGACATGGAAGGGACAATTGGGATGCTATGTTAAGGGATCCAAGATTGCACTTCTCATCATGGAGAGTGGCATGGGACTTAGCTGAGCGGTGGGAAGAGGAACAGTCAAAACTTTTGAGTGGCATATGTGTTCCTCAATTCAAGTACTCGATAGCACAAGGCAGTTCTTTGGACTACCACTACTTCTTGGGTCCAAAAACAGGAATCTGGAAAGAAAATACAGCAGATGAACCTGGACTTTCATTTGGCAATGTTGATGCTTGTAGAGGAGGTAATGCCTGGAGGAGGCCACTATTCCAGCCGGCTTATACTTGCAATAATGGCAATGAACACCTCCAGAGGCCTATTAGTTACACAAAGAGGACATCTCATTTTGGTTTCCGAAGGGCGAAGTATGACGAGGATGAATTTAGTATTTTAAGTAGAAGTAGGAGTATGGCAAAGGGCAATTTACTATCAACTAATGGCCCCACAACCTGCGTTGGAGCAAAGGGAAACTTGCCCCACTGGCTCAGAGAAGCTGTTGTTGCTCCCCCAGTGAGCCTGACAGAGCCAACTCCGCCGTCAACTGTTTCATTGATTGCTCATCCAGACATGTTGAATGTCACCCATCCTGATTTTGATTGTCAGGAATCACATTTTGTACCTAGGAATGAAACGCGGTTTACAATGGGTGTTTTCAGAGAAAACAACCTACATCCATTAAGTACTAGTCCTCTTTCCAATTACCCATCAGGAATAGGACTTGGAGGACTCAGGATGGCTAATCTGAGAAGGGATTATTCTCGTCATGGGGGTAAGCAAGAAGACTTGATTGTTATAGACAGCGATGCTTCTTCTGAAGAGACTATATCTGATGATCGTAGTGCTAGGGTGTAGCTTCAAGGTAGCCTGGCTGGGGGGTGAAACTCTGTTTGTTTATAGGGGAAGTATAGAAAGGTGTGTGCAGAGTTTGTTAGTCAGGCAATTTGTAAATGCAAGGAATGTATGGAACTTGTCATTGAATGTTCTATGCTTATAAGAGAATCTTTCTCAGATACGTGCTGTCTGGGCTAAACCCGGCCACAAATATTTTATTTTGTGGCGGATCCACTTTGTTGGTTTTCTTGTAGTTTAAGGCTATCTGTATTATAATCTTTCCTAGAACAAGAACAATTTCTTGTAGTTTAAGGCCTTTCCTAGAACATGAACAATTTCTTGTAGTTCAAGGCTCTCTGTATTATAAGTCTTTCCTGGAACATGAACAGGAATCGGGAATGCTTGTTAAGTGAGAATATTCAATAGCCGTTGGATTAAAAGCACTGATGATCCAACAACTATTCTCAATTTTTTGGTGTATCAACATCGGGAAACTTTTTACTCTGATTTTTGGGAAAGTTTATGTCTTTTTTTGTGGGGTGCACCGTGCATGATTAGGAAAAGATTGAAAAATAAGTAGGCAGGGCTCCTCGTGCTCAAACTGCATATAAATACCACGTCAAAGATACACCCATCTCACATTGCATGCTCTAACCCTAGCCCTAATACTTCATCATATTTTTTTGTCAAATCAACCATGAACCTATGGGCCAGGATCACCCTTGTCACCTCTACTGCCTTTGCATTGTGTATCGTTATTTCTTTATACATTCATCCTTTTATCCCTAACTCTGCTATAACTCGTGCCTCGCTCACTGAGTTCAGCGTCACCAACAACACCACCCTCCACTATAATCTTGCTCTCAATATTTCCCTGCGAAACCGTAACAAATATTACCGCACCTATTACGATAATATTGAACTCACAGCTTCTTACAAGAACCAGGCATTCGGTACGGTGAATTTGAACTCCTTCTACCAAGGTGTTAAAAATACTACTGTTTTGACACTCTCGTTCAAGGGGCACCAACATGGCTTGGTGAATCTTTCCAATGTTACATTTACTGCCGGAACTCATTACCATATTGCTGTCAAGCTCTATCTTCAAAACGTCTTCTTGGTGTCACCTACGACTACTTGGTTTATGGGTTCTCCGCAATCGCGGTCGGAGTTTACATGTCACTTGCAGGTTCCTTTGGTCAATTACATTGATGGTGAAGCCTCCAACATCACCACCAAGTGTGATTCCGATTTCAGTATTTTCTTATGAGTTTTCTTACTCTTGGTTGTTTTTTGTTTTTTTTTTTGTTTGGCTTGGTCCTACTTAATTAGTTAACTAGGAGATAGAATGCTATAGAAGCTGGAATATTGTGAATCAGTTTACCGATGGCTGGATTTTATGACAGCAGTTTAATTTTAATAATACTTATACCTTTTTGAAAACCAATCTTATCGTGGTTGGAGATTTTGTGAATACAAACCAAACATGCCATAATGAACTGAGATCTGAGACAAAACTGGGGAAGCAATTTAAAAGTTCGGGGTATCAAAGAAAACTGATATTTAAAATGATGCAGATTCAATTTCCATAGAGAAATCAATGCTTTCCTCTGTATGATCTTTCATGGTTTCACTGGTAGAGTGCATGAATGTTGTTTCATCTTTGAATGACTGAGGCTCTTGGAACTTTTCTAGGCATCTTTGAGTGTTTCTCAATCCTTCCAACTCTGTTGATACCTCTTTCATACTAGGCCTCTTTTTCCCATTCAACCTCAAACACCTTGTTGCTAGCTCAGCAATTGCTCCAACATGCTCCATCTCTGCTTCTCGAACCACTTGAGGATCCAAAATCTGAACAAGTTGGTTTTCCCTTGTCAATGAAATGAAAGAAGCAACCAGATTTTCCCCGTCATCTTTAGCAAAAGAAAACGGGGTTTTCCCAGTTAATATTTCTACAAGTGTGACTCCAAAGCTGTAGGTATCACTTTTATCTGTAAATTTACTAGATTGGAAGTACTCTGGATCCATGTACCCAAAAGTTCCCTGTACTTCTGTGGTTAAGTGAGTTTTGTCAAGGGGAACTGATTTTGAAGTCCCAAAGTCAGATACTTTAGCACTGTAATTATGGTCTAGAAGAATGTTAGAAGACTTGATGTCTCTATGGAAGATGGGGATTGAAGCTGCAGAGTGCATATATGATACTGCTCCAGCAACTTCACAAGCGATCCTGAAGCGATGTTCCCATGAAAGTAATGGTGTTTCAATGTGCTTCTGCTGGATATGATGGGAGAGTGTTCCGTTCGGAATATATTCATAAACTAGAACTGGAACCTCAGTCTCCAAGCAACAACCCAGCAACTTCACTATGTTTCGATGATTAATTTGAGTTAGAATGACAACTTCATTGATGAATTGCTCAATCTGATGTTTGTCTATTGCTCTTGACCTTTTAACAGCTACTATGGTACCATCAAGTAGCATCCCTTTATAAACTGTGCCATAGCCTCCTTGCCCAAGAAAGCGGCTCTGGTTGTAGTTATCTGTTGCTCTTTCCATCTCCTCTGCAGTAAATAGTTTTGCTTTGCTGCTACTTCCAAAAGATGAGATTTTTTCTTGCAACAAGAATCCCCCATTTTGCTTGAAAAATTTCTCCTGTTGGGTTTTGATTCTCCTTCTCTTTAGGCATTGATATAACTTGTAGCCTGAAAGGAACATGCATATGAAAGCAAGGCCTATGCCAATACCTGTTATGTAAATGAGTAAAGAAAGAAAACCCATTAGATTATTTATGTCAAGTTGAAAATTGAATTACCAGATTGTACTTGTACATGGTTTTCGTTAAAACCTTTTCCTTTAAACTTATATTTAACAAGAAGACATGGAAGATAGAGATATGCACCTAGCAGTGTAACCAATTTCACCGGAAACTTTTTGCCACCACGAATGCAATCGACGTATTCTAGGTATATCCCATCTGCGAGGGAACCATCAGAAGTGGGGCATCTCTTGCTTTTTAGTGGAACAAGAACAGGCGTATTAAGATCGATAATGATGTCCTGTGACAGCATATTTGCCACCGTTATACTTTGTGTGTTGACCCCAAACATCCCTCCAATTGATGCAATTGTGTCATTCTTGGCTACTATATATGTCAGCAGGGAGGTAATCCCATCTGCAGTTTGGTTTTCACTCGGACAAGCACATCTCACAGGAACCGCTAACACTGCTCCCACCGGAATATTTTCAGGGTCGTAATAGTTCTGACTTATCATAGCCTGGCATGTAGTCAGGCCTTGGTAGGTGTCATTGGCTGTCTTGAAATATGTGTCGTTTTTTTTCACGGTGTAAGGAGAGAAGTGCTGGAAGATATTGCCCGAACATGAACAAGAAACTGGAACTACAATCAACTTGTTGCTTGGAATCTTGTCACTTGCTGAAACTTTGTTAATTGAGGCAATCTCAGAGGCTTCAGAGCCAAGCAGATAGGCTATGCTGCTGGCGGTGTCATGAGGTGCTCGCGATCGGAAGGTGACAAAGGCTTCACATGACTTCACACTAGCATCACAGAGGTACCCTTTTGATATGGCAGGGTTACCAGAGCAGTTCCACAGTGTGCTGCCGTTGATGTATGCCTGCTGAGTGCGTGCTGGTTGATAAAATAGGGACAAACACAAGTATGCATAAAGGACGGAGAATGAAAATAGCTCCATATGTATGGGTTGGAGTTGATGCCAAACCAGGGATGAGTTTGGATATTTTTCTCATGGAGATTAGACATAACAAAGCATGGTTTGGCATGAACTTTGCTATTGGTTTCCAAACTTAAGGTCAGCAATATCATCAAGGAAAATGAGCTAGTCAGAATTGTCAGCTTGAAATCTTGGTTTTCGATGTTATGTCTCTTTCTTGGGATGGTATGTGTCTCCTATCAAATCAGTTTTTTGTTTTATTTTTAATCTTCAGCTACCACCTCATAAGAGAATTCTAGAGACTCACGACTTCATCTTATTTAACTATCACATGGTCAAATTGGTCTTGAGCACGGCAACCTTTTACTTGCTCAGCACGGCAAACGTGCACCTTTGACAATGAAACACATGTTTATGTACTCCAAGACATGGATAAGATTTTTAAATGATAGAGTCAAATAACAAGACATCATTTATATTATTTTTTTGGTCAGAAAGTAGGATTTCATTAACATGCCAAAACGCGGCCACCAAAACGAAACCAAACAAAGGAAAAAGTCCCAGACAGACAGGACAAGCAAAGAACCAAACTAAAAGCAAGCTGCAAGTAGCCATAACACAGACGTTGCAGAGCTGCTCTAAACGTCGCCACATGCAAAAAGCCTCCATGCAAACTAAGGGTGAGGGCTGGGTGATGCGGACATCATTAGTTAGTTTCCTGTTTTATTAGTTTCCTAGATTCTCTAGTTTTTCTGATTTCACTAGGATTTTAGTTTCCAGATTTTTAGTTGGATTTGATTTAAGTTTCCTAGTTTATTTTTACTTAGTTCCTTGGTGGATTAGGATTTCTGTTTTAGTAAGGGATTTTTATCCTATTGTCTCTAGGTTTTAGTTTGCTATAAATACCCCCATGTAGTTCTTTAAAATTCAGTTGTTGAGATATAAAGAAAAGCTTATTTTCCAGAGATTGGAGACTACTTGGTGTGAAGCCAAACCCCTGGTGTGAAGCCAAACCCCTGGAGTGATTCCAGACCTATCCCTTTTGTTCTATTTTCTGTTTTCCATTGTTTTCGCTTCCGCTAAACTACCTAAATACTCAATTCACCCATATCCTACATCAAATTTGGTATCAGAGCCAGGTTTTTGTTTTCTTGGGTTCAGAATTTTCGAGTATTTCTTGTTCTTCACACTGTGTGTCAATTGATGGCTCCGACTAAGCCTGGAAAGACAGACGAGCCAGCAACAGACTTTGAATGTCTGGTTCAGATGATGGAAACCCTATCAAAGCAAGTAGCAGATTCGGACGCTAGAGTGGAACGTCGCCTTGCAGACTTAGAAACAGCTAACCAACATGATGAAGCAAGTGTGAATGGAGAAGAGAGGAATCATGAGCGACACCGTCATGATAGAAGGAATGATCGAGACGCAGAGAGACACAATTTTCATCGTGGCTATGAGCAAGACCCTGATGAAAGGGTGATGAGATCAGTGAAAGTTGACGCTCCAAATTTTGATGGTGAGCTAAATCCTAAAGCACTCCTCGACTGGTTAGCCACCATGGATCGCTACTTTGAGTGGCATGACATGTCTGAAGCTCGAAGGGTGAGATTTGCTAAGATAAAATTGGTGGGTCAAGCTGGATTGTTTTGGACCAATGTTGAAACACAACTAGAGAGAGCTGGTGAAGAACCAATCATCCATTGGGGTGAGATGAAAGAAAGGTTGAAGCAGAAATATCTACCATTATCCTATCAACAGAGTTTGTTGGACGAGTGGCAAACTCTTCGTCAAGATAACATGCCAGTTGCTGAATATATTGCAAAATTTGAGGAATTCATGTTGTGATGTGACATAAGGGAAGATCGAAGGATGACTATTTCTCAGTTTAGATCAGGACTTCGTCCAGAGCTTCAAAAAGAATTAATTCCGCATACTGTGAATACTTTAGAGAGGGTTTTTCAGATGGTACAAGAATTAGAGAAGTATTTAAAGTTGTCCAATGTAGTCAAGCAAACTGATTCTCAAAGATCTGATTGTCATGTTGGCACATCTGTGACTCCAAGTTCTCCAACATCTATGACTAATTTAGTAAAAACTGCCAAGGGAAAAGGAGTGCTAGTTGATACACGCGGTGGTGGAACGCAAAGATGTTACAGATGCCAAGGTTTTGGACACTTTGCTGTCCAATGCCCAACGAAGGAGGCAACAAGAAATCTGTGTGCACACATCAACGAACAAGCTGACAATCAAGGCGAATTCGAGGAAGATATTTATGAACCCCAACAACCTGATGAAGATTGTGGAATCGACTTTGAAGTCCCTCATCCAACATTAGCAGTAGTAAGGTGTACTTTGGCTCAACCTAGGAAGGAAACTGAGGATTGGCGTAGGACTTCCATTTTCCACACTTACATCAAGTCTGGAGATAAAGATTGTAAGGTGGTCATAGATAATGGGAGTTGTATCAATGTTGTATCAACGCTGATTGTTTCGCGTCTTGGTTTGTCACCCGAGAAGCATCTTGTGCGATACAGAGTAGCATGGATTGACAATACATCTTCTATCCCTGTTACCCCACGATGTCACGTTCCTATACAGTTTTCATCTTACAAAGATCATGTTTGGTGTGATGTGGTGGATTTGGATGTGAGTCATATTCTCTTGGGAAGACCATGGATCTACGATTACAACGTTACCATCTTGGGTCAAGAAAATATATGTTCGTTCATCCATAAAGGAAAGAAGATCATGATGAAGCCACTTCAACCCAAGCTCATGAATCAATCTATACCAAACGAAGAGGAGCAAGACAAAGTAGGTAAAACCAAAGCTCTACATATCATTACGCTTAAAGAATGTAAGGAAGATGCAGAAGTTCATAGTCAAGTGGAAGTTAGATCAGATTTTCATAGTACTCGGATTACAAAGGAGAACCTGCCGCACATTGATCCCGACGTTTTGGAAGGTTATTACAGTTTTATCTCGCCGGAGTCGAGATCTTTTCAGCCAGAGGGAATTGATGCGGACATCATTAGTTAGTTTCCTGTTTTATTAGTTTCCTAGATTCTCTAGTTTTCCTGATTTCACTAGGATTTTAGTTTCCAGATTTTTAGTTGGATTTGATTTAAGCATATTCTCTTGGGAATACTTAGTTTCTTGGTGGATTAGGATTTCTGTTTTAGTAAGGGATTTTTATCCTATTGTCTCTAGGTTTTAGTTTGCTATAAATACCCCCATGTAGTTCTTTAAAATTCAGTTGTTGAGATATAAAGAAAAGCTTATTTTCCAGAGATTGGAGACTACTTGGTGTGAAGCCAAACCCCTGGTGTGAAGCCAAACCCCTGGAGTGATTCCAGACCTACCCCTTTTGTTCTATTTTCTGTTTTCCATTGTTTTCGCTTCCGCTAAACTACCTAAATACTCAATTCACCCATATCCTACATCACTGGGTAAACCATCCTTATTCAGAATGTGCACCAGGGAAGATGGGGTCGCCTGACCCAAGTTTCCTTGTTCATCTTCACACGAGCCAAATTCGCAATATGATCTGCTACAACATTTGCTGATCTTGGACAACAAGTCCAGCTAGAAAACTCAAAGTTTGGATGGCCAAGTTGGTCCCGAATCCTACATAAGAACGGGTACAACTCCCACCTACCACAACTAATGTTGCCATTGATCCCACGCACCACCTCCAGGCAGTCATCATTTATTAAACAAAGCAATCAACGCGTTCTCTGGCTACAGTACGAAATTGTATAAAAATCTGAATTCTTTATCATGAATGAGTTTACTTAAAAAATAGACCAATTAACAAGTTTATTTACATCTCCGTAGACTGCTATTCAGCCATAGTTCCATAGTTTCAACCCTATAGTTCAAAGCATAAGATTGAAAAGAAGGCCTGAAGGCACATCATTGTTCTCTCCACCTCCTCCACCACGAGGAAGGAATATTTCCTCGTGAAGGCGGCGGTGTGAGGAGGTCTAACATGGTTTGCTTCTCATTTGGGGTTAATGGAACACCTCTAACAAGGTTCAGCGCCATGATGTGGACATTAGTCTTTTGCCTGTGCTTTTTATAAGCCCAAATTCCTGCAGCAGCACCAGCAACCAGAAGCTGTTTCCCAAATGCAACAGTAAGATGTACAAATTAACATTTAAATTACAAATATAAAAGTTTTAACTTCTTTTATTGAAGGTTCTTCAACTGACCGGTGATAGCCACAAGGCTGCAGTCTGCATATCAAACTTTGGGGCATAAAGTACGGTCTCCCCAAAATCCTCTTCAAGCTTCTTATAAATCTCTTTGTCACTCTTCCCAGCATGAATCTCATCACGAATTAACTGCACAAATAACATATGCATTACCACTACTAGAAAGCAATCAGAGTGATTAGAGAAAGGCAAATAGCATAAGTTGAAATTGGTATTGACTGGCAGCAAATAACCATTATGTTACAGTAGGTCCTTAAAAAAAATAACAAAAGTCATTTATGAAACAAGATTAGCAAATATCTCCATCTTCTTTATGCAACATAATGATAAATGCAATACCTTTCTAAGCAAGATGGCAATATCTGCTTGTGAATCTTCAATGGACTGGCTTCCACACTCAGTGCACCGAACATTGTGACTAATGTTTCGAGCCCGGGCATTCACCACCTGAGTCTTCTTCACCGGGTCCTCTTCGCTTCCCATTGTTCTATATCGGCCTCAAGATCTCAAACCTATCATAGAGCACCCAAACACAACCATTTGATTTCTCAGTGAAGCATTTCATCAAACAGTTGCCGCATTTGTTTTTATAGCTTTTCAAAAGAATACAGCAACCATTCGATGAAGTATATGAACCCAGCTAAGCAAACTGCAAACTACCCCATTATGAAAAATGTATGAAATTGAGTTCAATTATAATGATTGGAGGTTCATGTTTGTTTTCGGTGGGAAAACTGAGTTATATGTTAAGAAATGAAGAAGAAAGAAGAGGAAGGAAGGCCAGGCGTACCTAAGGCTGAGGTGCTGTAGCACTCAGTATACTTGGAAGGCTTCCCAAAAACGTGTTTCTATAATACTCGAAAGCACTTTCAACTATTTATTTCTGCAAAAGTTATTGTGCTCAACCTAACCCAACCTGCCATGCTGACTGGTCAACAGCCTGCAAAGTCAGGCCCAAGTTCATCAATAGCTTTGTTTTGATGGGCTAGCCCAACATGGTCGAATACACCAATCTACATTAGAAATCTTTATCAGACTGGTTTGATATTCTAATTCTAACTGCTCTAATGTACGGGAAGGATGTTCAAATTCGGGTGCAATGCAAGGGTAAAATAAACAACTTTGGCATACTGACCTAAGTTCTAACCTAACATTTGCTTACCAAACTGGTTAGTTAAGAGTTAAGACGATGGAATAAAAACTCACTTATTCAAGATTTTCTATGAGATCTGGCACAAACAAAACTTATTAAATAGGAGATATATGAACAATTGAAGCGGTGAGGGTGGGATTTCAACAATCCATATTTAATTTAAGGATTAAGAAACATATTCTTACTTAAATACTCAAAAGTAAATGCACAATGGGAATTACTGCAGTCTGTAGATGAGCTTGATAGACAATTCCAGTTCTAGCTCAATAATGGCAGAATAAACAAAGATGGCAGCAGTTATAATCAGAACACTATATGATAAAGTTATCATCATCCCTCACCACCAAATGATGTTTGTCTGAGAGAAAAAATCTGAACACACATGGATACCCTAACCCTTTATCTGAGAGAGAAACCCTAATCCAGTCAAAATTGAACCCCAAATCAATCACAAATTGAACAAAAACAAAGAAAACAAGTTGGAGTCAAACATTGAATCCAATAATCATAGAGAAAAAAAGGAAAGGGATAAGAATTTGTACCGTCGTTGGAGTCGTTCCTGGTTCGTTCGTGCTTCGTCGGCGTGGGTCGTGTCTCGTCAGCGATGGTCTTGGCTCGTCGGCGTTGGTCGTGGTTCGCGTTGGAGTTTCGAGCGTGAGAATTTCCAAATAACGTGTGTACGTTTATAATTTATATTTATAGTGTAAAGCCGTGCGGCTATAATGTGAAAATATTGTATTTAAAGTGTATAGCCGAACGGCTGTACTTTTATAATTTCTATTTATGGTGTATGACCGCGCGGCTATACTTGTACAATTTCTATTCACAAAGTATAGCAGTTCGGCTCTACTTTTAAAATTTCTATTTATAGAGTACGACCGTGCGGTTATACGGTTAAAATATTTTGTTTGAAGAGTATAGCCGTGCTACTAAACTCTTATAATTTGTGTTTAGAGAGTATAGCCGTGTGGCTATACTTTAAAATATTATCTTTTTCACCAAAGAAACCATAATTAAAATATAATTATTAATTAAAGTAATTAAAAAATACTAAATATTACTTAATTATCTATATATATAAAGCAAAAGGTAGAGAATGGTGAAACATTCAAAATACCAGAAAATACCCTTGGTTAATCCATACATTAAGAATTAAAATTATTAATTAAATGAGGATAATATGGTAAATTCACACTTTTTCATATTTAAAAATAAAAATTAAAAGAAAAATCAAATAATGAATCCTATTTTTATGTAACACAACTACTCATTATCTTTTTTAATTCTAAAATAAATTTAAATTTAAAAAACAAAAGCTTTTCGCAGGCGCGGAAGCGCGTGCGGATAGGCTAATATATATTAAATTAAAGAAGTTGGCCACCAAAAAAAAGTAAAGAAACTAATTTTATACTTTTAACGAGTATAGCCGACCGGCTATACGGTTAAAATATTGTATTTAAAGGGTATAGCCGGGTGGTCGTAATTTTGACGGAACCAAACAGCAAGGACCATTTGTGATCACACATACTAACCTTGAGAACCACGAATGACACAAAAAAACATTAAGGATGCAATATGATAGTTTCGTAAACCTTAGGGATGTTTTGTGATATTAAGCCTTCTATTTATAGAGTAGTGTCAAGCGGCTATACTGTTGAAATATTGTATTTAAAGAGTATAGCCGAGCGGCCATACGTTTATAATTTCTATTTATGCCGTATAGCGTGTATTTTTAAAATTTCTATTGAGAGAGTATGGCCGAGCGGCTATACATTTATAATTTCTATTAATGGAGTATAGACGAACGGCTGTACTTTAATAATTTCTATTAATGGAGTTTTACCGTGCGGCTATACTGTTAAAATTTCTATTTAGAATACTCTCTCCCAATTTCTTTTTCCTTGGAAGTTATTTCAATTTTCAAATTCAGAATTGATTGTATACCATCGGGTTTAATTTCAAAGGTTTAGCTTCGATTTGTCCCAATATTAGAGTCTTTCCGAACCTATACAATATTTTGAAACAATGCGATTCTAAACAGAGCTGGTGTGTTACGAGAAATTGAAATGAAATATAAAAAATTAAATAAACATTAGTAAGAAACGTGTAATAATTTTCAACTTAATATAAAAAAATACTGCATAATCGGGCCCTTGAAAATGACCGCAGAGCCACGCTCAACTATCCTCCCGCCCCTCATGCTCCTTCGGGCAACCCTCCTGAAGAGCGACTTGCGGATTATCAAATGCCTGAAAATGGTGGTGCATGTCGCACTTCCACTGCTTGTACCTCTCAGTAAAGAGTCTGTTGACGTACGCCAACGACTCGTCGTCGAGGTCCTCTAAATTGTAGTTCGTCTGCAATAAATTAATTACATACATTAAGTAATAGAAATATATAAAGTTTGAAGGAAAAACAATTAAAAGGTAGGATACATACCGACAACTGTCCATGCATCTCCGTCCTCATCTCGTTAGGCATGACCTTCCAAGACTTCCATTTCATCGGGCAATGGGTCTGAACAACGTGACCAATGTCGTGGGCCAATGAGCTATATGCTGGTCTACCGTTGGTGCTGCTCGATGCCACTCGTTTTATACAATGTTGATACGACTGTTGGTCACCCAGGTGACCTTCACTGTCTTCAACTGGCGACAAGGTCCCCAGGTGTTCTTCTTGGCTGTAAAGAAATATAAACTTAACGTTAAATAACAAATCCTACTAAAATCTTGGTCCAAAACAGTTGGAGTTCAAGGAAATCTTTACCTGGTTGTGACCCGACGCACCAGTAGCGGATGTCGATGTTGTGTCGGTTGTGCTGGGGGGCGGTGACGACGCCTGGCGCTAGCAGGTGGCGCCACTGATGACGCCGACGCATGGGAGACCCCGGGATTTAGATCTTGGACTGACTAAACATGGATCTTAATAGCTCAATTTAATTATAAATTGTATTGATCAAATCCATTAACACATCCTAAACCAGACAAAACTGATTAATCAAATATTCTCCCTGATTTTGATGAGAGTGCTCAATAGAATCAAATTGTTACAACTTACAACCATTTTCACTTATCATTCTTTTTAAGTTGGGAATGCTATTGAAATCTAAGCCCGCATACATTGTGAGAGAGAGAGAGAGAGAGAGAGCATTAAGAATGGAACGTTTAATATAAATTGCTTGGCCTGAAAAGGCATTCAGGAATTGGTCCTTGTATAGTGAATATACAAGAAAAATCTGATTATGAGTTACCAGGGTGTTACAGCACTGTACAACCAGTTGATTAGCAACAAGGCAGTTAGAGACCAGCATCATCCTCCTCCTCATGTACACAGCAAAGTCCAAAACACATTATGTCAGGATTTGAAGAACACGGCAAAGTAAAGACTCGTCAGGGAAAATAAAGGTCAACAATCCTGATTGGAATTAATATGGACCCAGCTATTCAAAAACTCTATCTTCTTTTTTTAAATTTACTTAGGAAAGATGAGATCAAGGAAAATATTATGAAGCATTTTCAAATGGAACTTTTTCCAAGACAATGTTAGCATTTCTCAATTCATTTACTCAACTCTTTTTATATTACTTGGTTTCGATCATTTTGATGATTTGCTAGAAGTATCAGACACTACCATCCAATCAAAATTCACTTCTAATTGGGGATTTTTAATATAAATGGAGACATTAATACATTAATAGACTTTTCAAGGGGCACCTACTGCAGCTGGCCCAAAATAATAGCAAATAAGGTCTGGTTCCATATAGCAAGTGATTCAGCAACTTCAAAGATAAAAAGTGCATAAGCAAAACATGTTTAAATGCAGGAGATGGAACAAAATCAAGTGAAATGGCCTAAGGTTGCATGCACCCTGTTAGTTAGTATTTCAGTACAAGATCATCAGACTAGCAAGGTTGATTCACTAGTGACCTGCCACATGTCTGTGAAAACAGTGTAATCCTAATTCCACGCCAACCAAAAGCTCATTATCTTTCAATTTGGAACCAACTTAAGTCAGTTCCGGTACACCAAGAGGTACCCTTCCAGGACGTGGCATCCTGATAACCGGTGAATTTGTCTAAACAGAATAGCCATCTAGAGTTACTATCCCACTCGCAGTTCCTAAAAATAGTGCATTAGCATGTCATATATATGGAGGAAATTAGTTCAACAATGGTTACCATCAACTTCATTGCCTCAATGGTTTTTGTCACTGGAGTTTATCATGATGCCTGAAAATGTTGGACTGCAAATTAAGCCACATGAAGAAACAGAAAATTGATTTGTGCAATGGGAATATAGATCTCTCCTCATTTGCACTGGCGCTACATTAGACTCAACAATTCGAGAAACTCCACTGGTTCTTCATTTTCTTTAACAATCTGTTCAGATACAGCATTCAGTGGTCACAGTTAGAAACCCTGTCGGATTTACCAACAATTGACAAGCGTGCATTCCACAGGCTTTAATCCAATAGAAAGTGATACTTTGAAGAAATACAGAATGAATGAACACTAAGAAATCGACATAGATACCTTATACCCCAAACAAGCCATAAATGAACACATTAGTACTTCCAGAAATATAAATGGTCACTGCTGAGTAATGACAACGGTTTAATAAATAAGAGTAATGACTACTGAGTTTGGTAACAAAATAAGTTACACAATAAATCTAAACTCCAACAAACAAACAATTACAGATGACAAAGTCCACCAAAAAAAACACTGATAGCTGTCAAAACTCAACAATCACAAGTCAAATCCCTTGAGATGCAAAATAGTAAGAATGGATATAGAAGATAGTAACAGAAACCTTACAGCAAACAGACTAAATTTACAAGAAAAACCCATATTCGGATCAGCAATGCCTCTTGCTGCTTCCACATACTGAAATGCATCATCAAAACTCTGTCCTTCTCTCCACATAAGATACGCAATCACCAATGAGGTGGACCGAGATACCCCTTGACAACAATGAACAAAAACTC